CATATGAAGTCTCTTCATGCTGTGACCCTCTTGCTGTTTGATTGCTTTCCAACATCAGCAGGGTGTTCAATTCCTGCTCTTCTAGAACAGCCTTCTTCCCAGTCTCTAAGCTCTGTGTCTCAAGGTCCCAAGGGGAAACAGAATTTGGGCTGAAAACCTCTAGACCTGGCTTCCTTTCTCAGGGGCACAGTCCACATCTGCACAGAACAAGATGCTGAGTGGAATCGGGGGCTTCGTGCTGGGTCTGCTCTTCCTCGGGCTGGGGCTGTTCATCTACTTCAGGAACCAGAAAGGTAAGGAGCCTGGTGGTGGCCAAGACCCCATAGCATTTCAGGGAAGAGCCACGCTTTGTTCTCGGGATGTCACAGAACTTGTGACCTCAGATTTCAATCAACTCTGAACCCAACAGTCTGAAGTTACTGGATTAGATCCTAAGGAGTGATAACATATGGCCATGGGAAAGCTAAGGTGACTCTGACTTGAGAACTGGGAACAGAGGAAGAGAGAAGGAAGAGCCACTGGGCTGCTGTGTGCCTGAGGCTTCCTGAGCCCCTCTCTCTGTCCACAGTCTGCTCTGGCCTCACTGCTGTGGGCTGTGGTGCCAGAGGAATATCAGGTGGCAGCTCAGAGTCTAGGGACATGTGTATGGGGACAGATCTTCCTCCATGCACTTAAGTGTTTATTTTATTCTCTTTTCTAAGACAGTCTTGGCTTCAGTAACACCCATCAGTCTTCCCTCAGAGACAGATCTGCTTTCCCTACCATGTGGGGATGGGGTTAATGGGTACCAGACAGAAACACTGGGAAGGTGCAGATCCCAGGGCCTGGAGGTTTGCACTGAGCCTTGTTACCTGCACTTTCCAAGGAGTCTGTTCTCTGAAGCAGTGTTGACTTGGGGTTCTCTCTGCTCACTGCCATGCTGTCAGGAGAGGCCTGAAGGAGGGAGAGAAATCATAGCAGAGTTAGGTCTGGAAACACCTCTGACCCCTGTGCTCTGCAGGACTCCTGAACTGGGGTGAGGTGATAAGCCTGAAGGAAGGAGCTTTCCCTGTCTCCACGGCTCAACTTCCTCCATTGCCAGAGTATCCCAGGACCTGGCTCCTCCTGGCTCTGGATACTGTAGACCTGTGTTCCCTGTCAGCCCCTGGCCCCAGCCTGGCATCTCCCTGGGCAGAAGCTTCCCTCCCCACAGCTGCCCTTTGTCTGGTGGGTCTGAGCCCATCTGCTGCCACAATGCCTGCTGTCTTGGATGGTTTTGTGTCAACCTGACATAGCTAAGTCATCAGAGAGGAGGGAAATTCAATTGAGAAAATGCTTCCTTCAGATGAGCTACAGGCAAGACTGTAGGGCATTTTCTTAATTAGTGATTGATACCTGAAGGTGGGAGATGCCATCTCTGGGCTGGTGGTCCTGGATTCTGTAAGAAGGCAGCCTGAGAAAGCCATGAGAAGCACCCCCCTCCTCCATGGCCTCTGCATCAGTTCTTGCTGTCAGGTTTCTGCCTGTGTGAGTTCCTGTCCTGACCTGCTTCAGTAATGGACTTCATGTTAGTGTGAATGTAATTGGTCCCCACAAGCTCATAGGGAGCGGCATTTGATGGGGGAGCTCCTTCTGTATATATGTTTCTCTTATTGGTTGATGAATAAAACACTGATTTTCCAATAGCCAGACAGAAAGCATAGATGGGGCTACCAGACCAGGAGAAGGCTGGGGAGAGGAAGGGAGAGAGGCCCACACAGAGACACCGTGCTGCTGACAGAGTAACATGACAGATTGCGGGTAAGCCACAGCCTTGTGGCAATACATAGACTAATAGAAATGGGTTAATAATTAAGAGAGAACTAACCAGTAAGAAGACTTAGCCATCAGCCAACAGTTTATAAATTATTATAAGTCTCTGTGTGTTTATTTGGGGCTAAACGGCTCTGGGACCAGGCAGGACAGAAACTGCCATCTTCAGGCACTATTATGTGGTATGGCCTTGTTGGAGGAAGTATGTCACTGTGGAGGTGGCTTTGAGTTCTCATATATGCTCAAGCCACACCCAGTGACTCAGTTCACTTCCTGTTGCCTGCAGGTCAAGATTGAAGACTCTCACCACCTTCTCCAGCACCATGTCTGCCTGTACCCTACCGTGTTCCACCATGATGGTCATGGACTAAACCTCTGAACATATAGGCCACCCCAATTAAAAGTCTTTTCCTCTATAAGAGTTGCTGTAGTATTGTGTCCAAATTCTCAAGCCCCCAGAGACCTGTTCCGATGCAAAAGCAAAGAGTCTTTTATTGTTGTTTAAAGAGCTAACTTCATTAACTCTGGCTTTTTATCCGTTCATGGAGGCAGATGGTGGGAGAAAGCCTTGAAGAACCAAGAGGTGGGAAACTTATTGGGCTACGTAAAGGGAGTGTCTAGAGCTAAGCAACAGTCTCATAATTGGTGTGCTTCCGGGCTTGGACGACCTGTCCTGTGTTGATTGGTCAAGTGGTTGCTATGGCCTATAGGCCCTCCCAGGGAGGTTGATATGCTCTTCATATCACTGCTGTGGCACTTGTACCTTAAAGCACACCCAGAGCCATAAAGCACAGTCCTGCCAGCTAACTTCAAATTGGTTCCTTGCCACAAGGCGGGTATCTGACTTCCTAGTGACTAGGGCAGGCCCAGCAAGGTCAGACATGTGCTGTGTCAGGGGCCTACATGTCTTTTCTGCAGCTTGTCATGACTGCTAAAGCAGGGGAGGGGGAGGGGATAGGCTTGGGGGCTCATCCCTTCAGCAGTAATGGTGTCTCTTGGCAGCAATAGAGACATTAAATGAGACAGATGTTGTTACCGGAGACTGGGGTATTTCTGTGATAGACCTGACCATGCTTTGGTTTGGAGGAACGTGGACCTTGGGAATGTGGATTAGAAAAGCAGTCATGCTTTAAGGGTTACTTAGTGGGCACACTAGTAGGAACATGGAAGACTGTGGTGCTGAGTGTGATTTGGTGAATTGTGTGGGCCTGGTTCAAGAGATTACAGAGGAGAAGAATATTAATATGTGGCCTAGAGATTTTTGTGATATTTTGGGGAAGAATGTGGCTGCTTTTTACCCTTGGCTGAAAAGTCTGCCTGAGGCTAAAGTGATGAGTTTTGGGTTAATTCCCTTGGATAGACTCTGTCATGTGGTTATAAGTGTTAATTCTAATGAAGACTTATGATAAAAAAAGTAGCAATCTGAGCAGTTAAAAATACAGAATGTACAGACTGAATAGAAAAAAGGCCCCATGAAGTCGAACAGAGATAAATTCTGTGTTCAAGGAGCTAAATGGGTTAAAAAATGGAATAAAGGGCGTGATGACCTCAGAGAAAGGTCCCAGCCAGCTAAGTTTCCTACTTGTGCAAAGGAATTAAAGAAAAACTTAGAGCTGGATGAGGTGGCACACACCTTTAATCCCAGCACTGGGCAATTATGATAGAAAACAGAGGTTTTGGAATATTCCTCCTTTACTAAGGAAAGCAACTGAGGCCAGGTATGTGTCAGGGTTTTCTCTGCATGGAGGCCTATTGAGGCCTTTGCGTGAACTGTGAAGCCTGCATTGCCTTGGAGACCCCAAGATATTTGAGATGGCAGAGCCATGGTTACTTCCCTGGGAAGCTGCTAAGAGGGAGTGAAACCAGCCCAAGAAAAAGAAGTCTCTTGCAGTCAACAACATTGAAAGGATTTGGAGATCTGAGGGCCTTTGACATCAGACATGGAGATGCAGAGTTTGGAGTTTGCCCAGCTGGTTTTCAATCTTGCTTTGGTCTAGTTTTTCCTCTCTGTGCTCCTTTCCCTATGTTTTGGAGTCACAATGTGTATCCTGTGCCATTATATGTTAGAAGTATGGGATCTGCTTTTTCACTTTGATTTTATAGGGGCTTACAGTTAAGAGATTGCATGAGTCTCAGAAGAGACTTTGAAATTTAAAACATGGTTGAGATAGTGATAGACTTTGGGGACTTTTGAACTGGGACTAAATGCATTTTGCATTATGATATTGTTACAGGCTTATGGGACCCAGGGGGTAGAATGTGGTAATTGACCCTCATAATTTCATAGGGGATTGTACTTTTAAGAGGTGTGGCCTTGTTGGAGTAGGTATGGCCTTGTTAGAGAAACTGTGTCATTGTGGGATTGTGCTTTGAGGTGTCCTTTGCTCAAGCCACACCCTGTGTGGCACACAGTTCACTTAATGTTGTCTACAGATCAATGAAATGTTTTCCTTTATAAGAGTTGCCGTGATTATGGTGTCTCCTCACAGCTATAGAAACCCTAACTAAGACAAGCCGTAATAATGACAAGTAAGTGAAATGAACCATTTTTCTTCATGTTGCTTTTGGTCGTGGTGCTTCATCAGAGTAATAGTAACTCTAAGATATTTGCTTACATTTTCCTCACATAAACTAGGAACAAAAATCACCTGCTTCAAGGAGCTTCAAGGAAAAGAAATAGCAAAGAGAAAGGAATGGCTCACAGTAAGACACTGCTTATGCCTAAGGCAGTTTAATGTGTAGGGGATAAGTTCATTTGTATTTTACATTCTTTGTCAATTAGAATTATCCTATACAGCTTTGAGTCTGTTTTAGGACCTGGCTCAGTTAATGAAGCTTTGTCTCACAACCGTGAGGACACAAGTTTGGTCCCCAGGACCTTGTTATGATGCTGGTCGTCTCTCCATTCGTCCCACATCAAAAAGACTGTGAAACTGAGTGTCTCCCTAATCCTTCCTGTGTGTCTCTCCATCCATGTTCCTGGCTCCTCTGTCCTCTCTAGGGCTAATTCCTGTCAACTAACCTAAGGTTAATTTTATTAACACAGTCTCGGGGTTTCACAGTGTGGGGGTGTCACTGAGCTGTGCTGGGTGAGGAACCGGACAGACAGACAAAGGCCCTGGGTCACTGGCTGGCAGCCTGATAAAGGTCTCAGAGACCCATCGAAGGGGCCTGAGTAAATATGAATATGAGTTTTATCTGTCATGTTGAGTGAGACCTGACCATCCTCATGCTCCAAGAAGACACTGACTGGCAGGGGCTCAGGAGAGGCGACTGCCCAGTACACAGCCTCACAGAGAGTGGTGGCCCAGAAGCCATCCTGCAGATTTATGTTAGACTTTCCACTCCTGGTCACATGCACCCCCTACCCCCATCCCTGGGTTCACAGTACCTGACCTTCATCTCCCAGTATCATTACCCTGAGATAAAAACCTGCTGGCCCAGCACACAGGGAAGGGAATAAATCTCAGTGGCTCCATGGGGCAGACCTGAGGCTCCCTGTGGTCACATATCTCCCTTTAGATGAGTTCAGGGTGTGTCTGGGTCCAGAGTCACAGGCACCGCAAAGAAAACCATCCTTCTGATCTCCAAGACACTCAGCCTGATGGCATGCTCTTATGCCAGCCCACAAGACCCCCAGATTGACCACCACTTGGAGCTGACACTCCTGAATGCAATTGCAAGGTTTCTTTATTCAAGCCTCGTCAGGGACCTAGGCTTGAATTCTCCACCAAAGGAAACCAGTCCTTTTACATTTGACACAGCAGCAGCAGGAGAAAGGCCTCTGGAGCCTCACAAGCAAGGGGCTTTTAAAGACAAAGACCACAGGATAGGGTGAGGGATATAGGTATAAGCTGATTGGCTGGGGTGTCTCGAGGAACTTGGGGAGTTTGGGAATTTTCTATAGATTTATCTCTGGTTCCATGTGTACTCACAAAGATTGTTTTTGTAACTCTGATAATTGGCCACCCTGGGGTCAGGGCCAGTTGTCTCCCCTTCCTGCCTGTCAGGGCATGTGGAGTTCTTGCACCTTCCTGCTTGTTAGCTTCTCAGGGGACGGTGTAAGCCATCTGCACAGGTCACGGTGTCAGGTTCTCACACAGTGCTCTTTTTGGCCTTTTCTCTAGGATGGCTCTGGTTTGGTCGTTCATTGCAAGAGTCCTCTGCAGACTGAGATGTCTGGGGCTGGAGGAGGAGGGGACACTCAGATATGAGTTCTGTCCTCTCTCTCCTTTACCCGAGCTGAGCCCAAACATGGGGAGCAGACTCATTCTGAGACTGACAGAGTGACTCGTCAGCGTGGTCAAGCTCCTTCCTCCAGTTCTCAAAAGAACACACATGTACATCCACAGAACTAACATTTGGATTTTCCTCCAGAGGAAACCAGTTTTTTCCACTTTCACTTTGTACATTGT